TGTTAAGTCATTTATTTGTGTTCTTTCCGATTTTTTGATGTAGGCACTTAGAGCTATAAACTTCCCTCTAAGGACTGCTTTCAGCATGTCCCAGAGGTTTTGTTGTGTTGTATTGTCCTTTTCATTTAGTTCCAGGAATATTTTTATTTCTTTCTTAATTTCTCTTTTGACCCATTCATCATTCAGTGTAGCAGGAGGCCTCCAAAGATGGCAGGGACCCAGAGCCCTGAGATTCAGTGAGAATTCACTTCACTTCTTGGTCCGCAAATAGCCCGCCAAAAGGAGCCCATGCCTCTGTCCCCTGGTCACCAGCCCAGTGACTGCTGACAGGCTGCATGGTGCGGACCAATCAGAAAATGATACGCTGACTAAAGGGACTTGGGGGAAATACAAGGCCTTCCCCCTCCTGCATTAAATGAGCCTGCAGCACCTCATCTAGTGCTTGCTTCTACCTGACTCCTGGTGTCTGTGTGTTGACTCTGCACCTCTTGCCCCCATCCCCCTAATTGGCAGGGGACCCAATCCAGGTTAGGGTCTTCATAGCTGGTCTGACGAGAATGCGCAACAGTATGGTATCCCTCACTATCTGATCTCTCACTACTATAACTCGGAAATGCCAGTGTTGATTGTAACCTTTCTTGCATTGTGGTCTGATAGAATGCATGGAATTATTTCAATCTTTCTGTATTTGTTGAGGTTTGTTTTGTGGCCTAGTATATGGTCAATTTTGGAGAAGGTTCCATGGTGTGCTGAGGAGAAAGTATGTCCTTTGGTGCTTGGGTGGAATACTTGGTCCATGTCTGTTAAGTCCATTTGATATATGGTATTGTTTAATTCAGATGTCTCTCTGTTAAGTCTCTGGCCTGATGCCCTATCTAATGGAGACAGTGGGGGTACTGAAGTCCCCTACTATTAATGAGCTGGGATTAATCTGGGTCTTAAAGTCCCGTAGTACTGATTTTATGAAGTTGGGTGCACCAGAGTTTGGTGAACATGTTCATGATTGTACTATCTTCTTGATTTATTGTTCCTTTGATCACAATCAAGTGGCCCTCTTTATCTCTTCTGATTAGTTTTAAAGTCTATTTTGTCAGATATCAGAATTGCAACACCTGCTTTTTTTTGTACCATTTGCTTGGAGTATTTTTTTCCCATCCCTTCACCTTATGGCAGTCCCTGTCCTTGAAAGTGGGATGGGTTTTGTTTCTAAATCCATTCAACTAGTCTGTGTCTTTTGACTGGGGAGTTCAGTCCATTGATATTTAAAGTTATTAATGAAAGGTGTGTGTGTATTGAATCCTGTCATTTTTATTTCTGTTTGCATTCTTGGTGTAGCTGTGCATTTCCACAGTGACACC